GAACTATATAATAAAGAATATCATTGACAACCTTGGTTGTTTTAGTTAATAAGGTGTGGTATATCTATAGCTATAACTATTTTTATACTTTATGGTGTAACAGTGGAGTAAAATTAGAATCTTATATAGAAGGTAAATCAATGATGATTCTAGCTTATAAGCATGGATCAACCCTTTCCCCATGAGGGTGCATTTGAGGACAAAACTATGAGACCTACATATTAAAGTAAACAATATCTCATGATGAGAGATGGAACAATCCTTGGTGTTAACATTGGTGTCATCTAGGGAAACCTACTAACACCCTCCGGTAAATCATTACCCTACAATTCCCTTGAGGGGTTAATGCCTTAATGGTGGAGTGAAATTAGAATTCTACATTAAAGTTAAATCAAGTTGTGCTTTATAAGTAGAGTTAAGTCCTTCCCCATTAGCAGACAATCTATGACAATTCCTCATGGCATGACATAAAGTCAACAACCTTGGAAAAGAGATAAAGAGAGATTTTTTGTGATAGTATGAATAATTAAAGTTAATAAATAATAATAATAATAATAATGAAACTATAATTAATCTGATATAAATTACAAAAACGAATACCATATTTTGAAATAGATCAATTAATAAATTATATAATTGTGTTTTCATAGATTGAAGTTAGAGTGATAAAGGTAAGAGATGTTTCCTTAAAATTGTTCAAGAGGATTACTCCCCAAATACTGCAAACTGCCTAGGAACATTTTACCTATTCAATTTAAAAAGAAAAAAAAGTTTTCTTAGGAAAAAATTAGTGGCTAATTTTTGAATCATTTATAAAATATAAATCACTAAATAAGAAAGCAATCTCTAATATTATATCTATTTAATAATTTAAGTTATATAATTTGATACAATTTAATAACACAATTTTTTTAAAGTTAATTTTTACTCCTATCATGATTCTAGTAAAAGTGGTGGCACCGCTATTGAGTGACTCATGATGAAGGGCAACTATAGCATGCGAGCAGTTTGATGAGCATCAACTACTGGGTCCACCGGAAATGTGGATCCAATTAGATGATTAGGCAACATGAGCCGATCACAACTTTTTTTTTGGCTATACAATCTTCCTTATTTAAACCCCGTAACATGCAAATTCCACCCCAAACTCTTCATTCCCCTCCTTAATTCGTCCCTCCCTCCATTTCTCTATTCCATAAGAGAAGAGAAACAGTCTCTCCCTTTTTTCCATTCCTCAAATAAAAAGCAACTCCTTTTCTTAAAAAACACCCAAACGACAGTTAGTACATAGCGAACTATTCTTTCGTCTTTTACCAAAACAGATACTAAATCTCTTGCAGTGAACATCAACATGGATTTTAGTAACCCAAAAACTGCTTCTCCATCTTCCTCCAAAACCAAAAGAAAGCAAAAGCAGCAGCAGCAGCAGCAACAACAACAAAACAACAACCAGCAGGAGACGAGGTTTCTGGGAGTAAGGAGGCGGCCGTGGGGCAGGTACGCTGCGGAGATACGAGACCCTACCACCAAGGAGAGGCATTGGCTCGGGACATTTGATACTGCTGAGGAAGCTGCCTTAGTCTACGACCGCTCCGCTCGTTCCATGCGCGGCTCCAAAGCCCGCACCAACTTCGTCTACTCTGACATGCCATCCGGCTCCTCCGTCACCTCCATCATCTCCCCCGATGAAATCCACCACGACATCTCCTCCATCTTCACTACTACCACACTCCAAAATGATCATCTCAACCAGAACCAGCTCTTTTTTCCACAAGACCCATTCGGGTCATGCCAGTTTCCATGCGGGTTACCCGTGGAAAACGGGTGGGTTCAAGGAAGCAATTCAATTGGGCCTTACCAGCCCATTACTGGCGTTATGGACGCCAGCAATGATTGCTCTCAACAGTTTTCTAATGACTCCGAGCTGCCACCTCTGCCACCAGACTTTTCATCCGGGTCGGATATGACATATGGAGTTTGGAGTGACTCCACATATTTCGGGTTATCGGAGCAACCGGGATTTGGATTTGATTTCGGAGTGAATGGATCTTATTTGGGCTTTGATCCAAATGGTATGGGGCAGCAAAGCCCACTGTTTTCGGATTCCGTAACGGACGGGTTTGATTTGGGTTCGTCTTCAGGTTATTTCTTTTAATAACCGAAAGTTGGAATTTCAAAATTTTTATAATGGGAATTAAATGTGTCAGTTTAATTCTGGGTGTTGACGGCTTCTTAATTTTAATTTTTATTTTATTTTGATTTTGGCGGGAGAAGGGTAACTTTTTTTTTTTTGTTTAGGGTGTGTTTGGGTTTTGGAAAACGAGGGGACAAAATTTACTGCTTTCAGTCCTACTTTTGTAGTTCATGATGTCTCAAGCTTTTGGGTCACTTGTACCGCTCTGATTCTGCCACGTTTCGGATTTGTAAATGTTTAATAATTTGATTGCAATGATCAGTGGTCTTCCATGTTATTGCTTATGCTTCTGCTAAATCTTGAGCAACTCCTCATTAGTCAATTTCGCTATCATTAGAGACAACTGATTTTTCTAAATTATGAGCTATTAATTCAATAGTTGAAATAGATGGTTGTGCATTGAGTATTATAAACTACTTCCATCGCCTAACTAGGCTAATACAATGATTATTTCTTGTAAATTCCTAGTTTCTATAGATGATTTGTTTTTTATAGGAATAGAAAGAAACTAGTTTTGAATTATATACAAACTGCTTCAATAACAACCTAATTGTTAATTTTTCTTTTAAAAAAAACTAGTCTCTCTACCTCATTTTGGTTGTTACACTTGTTTTTTTTTTAAAAGTGTCCTAATTTAGTTTTCAATTTTTATTGTAAACAAAACATTAAATGCTTTCTTTCCAATTTTAATTGCCATTACAATTTCGTAGCAACTCCTTTAATAAAACATAATACTTACTTTCAACCTCTTTATTAATTTAGTTCCCTAGTTATAAGTTGTAACCTAATAATAACTGCATTTTTGTATAATTTGATAAATTTTCTAATAAACGTAATAGAAAAAAAAATTATGACAAATAAAATGGTATGGAGGGAGTATTAAATTAGGAAATTTGTGTGTAAGTGAACAATGACATGTGCATCCAAGGTTGGTCTAGTAGTAAAACATTAACTAGAATTTTAGGAGATACTAAGTTCAAATCTTCCTACATCGGATTGTGTTTGATTTAACATTAGAGCATTTATGTCATTTAAAATTAAAAAGTGCAACTGTAAAAATTTGGTATATATGAATTTTAATATAAGACTTACATTTAATTTAAAATCAATTGATAATAAGTATATAATCGTCCCTATGTTTAAGTTAGACATATTTTTATTATGTTTTCATGTGGGATTTTACCAATTAATACGCTTACCACTTAATATGCCCCTCACATGCAAGTCAAGTATAAAATTTAAGTCTTTTATAAATTTTAAGTCTTTTTATGACTTTTTTTTTTAACAATAAAAAATAATATTTATTAATAAACGGAGTATAAGGGGTACCTCAAATCCATAAACATCATAATTGAAAGGCATTATATTATATGAGTGGAGTAACCCTTTTGCATGGTGTCGATCCCTGACTTATGGGTCAACACTACGTCTGAGTCGGAGTGTTGGATGTTTACCATATGGTGTCGACACCAAAATTATGTGTTGACACTATACCTGCATCAAATTTCTGTCCTCCTTTGCAGTTTCTTCATATGAGCTCATCAATGTTAATCCCATCTTTCAGATCATTCCTACTTATCACACACTAAAAGATTGAATAACACTTGGCTTTCTTTACATAATCATGCAAAAAGAAAAATGAAAGTAAAGAACCAGATTAAGCACTATGCAATTAAGTGTTATTCATCACCACAATTAGGTTCATCACTTATCTTCTCCCCACCCAAAAGGGTCTCACCTCCATTGTATGGTCCTTGTCAAATGTCTGCCCTCTTTTTTGTGAAGGCTGTAAGAGTGCTCAATCTTGGTTGTTATATCCAATCAGAGAGTGTGATCCCCTTCCTTTCATCTTTGAGTTTAAGCCACTGGAATGAACAAGTTTGCACCAAGTCAAATAGTTTCACTTCGTCCAAGTGTTTGCTCTAGAATATTACCTCATTTCTTGCCAGCCATATTGTCCAAGTGATTGCAAACCATATAATGTCCTAGCCTATTTTAATTGTTGTGTTGCTGAAAGGGTCTTTGTGCTTGTTAAAGGCATCCCAACATGTTCCAGGCATTACATGTTCAACTCCCCACCATTGAAAACATTTTGACCAGAGATTAAAGGCTGTTTGTAGTGTAGAAATAGGTGGTTTGTGTCTTCAACAACAATAGTGCAAAAGACACAGGTGAGTCCATCTTGAAAGTTACACATCCCTCGTTGTGACAGGTTAAGTTTGGAAGGAATGCGATTTTGAACTAGTTTCCAAGTAAAAGCACATACTTTAGAGGGGATGTTACCATTCTATATCTTGGAGTAGATGCTAGGATCACTAGGTTCACCATCAACAGTAAGTAAGGAGTAGGCTTCACTAGTGTTGTAAATACCATCCTTGTTGTGCTCCCATCTCCAAGTATCCTGAATTCCATGTTGGATTTTAACCCTGTTTAGGATATTCATAAGGGGATCAATTTTAGCTCTTTCTCTTTGCAAAAGCATCCTTCTCCATGGAAGATTTCAGCTCCAAGTGCCATTTATCCAGTTCCCCATTTGGTTGATTGAATGTTGTTGACCTGTAGATAATAGGAACAATCTGGGAAATTTTTCAACAAGGGGCCCACACCCTGCCCAATCATCCCACCAGAATCTGACTAATGCTCCCTCTTCGACTTTTAATTGGAATCCCCTCCTAAGCCAATCATTGGTTCCGTCCCTCACCTCTCATAACTTGCATAGATCTCTCCACCATAGTGAGCCCTTGTCGTTGCCCTCCCTTAACCAACACATCCAATTATCTCTATTGTGACCATACTTCTCTTTGATTAATTGGCTCCATAAGCTAGTATCTCCTATGGCTAATCTGCCCCACCACTTCCCTAGTAAAGCTAGGTTGAACAATTGGAGGTTTCTCAC